GAAGAATCAGCAAAGTTTCACCGTGCAGAGTGCTCACCCGCACCCTAATTACGACCGCCGTACCAAGAAGGACAACATAGCCCTGCTCAAGGTACCTACCCACCCCGTCCCAGAGCTGTGGACCCCTGGGCGCACACTGGCAGGTTCCCATTTCCAGGCACTGTCAGGGTGCAGTGGGCTGATCTGATCTTTCCATGAGGTTGAGATCAGGGGAGCCCTGGCTTGGGCGGGTGAAGCACACTGCATCCAGCTTACCATGAGGGACATCCTGCCCTGCTTGAAATCAGCAGCAGCTTTGCTCTTCAGTGCAACAGGGGCCAAAGTTACACCTTTGCTGCCTGTCCAATGCAGCGTTCCTGCGCCTCCCTGAACACGCGTGCCGGTCTTGCCCTACCAGGCTGGCGGGGCAGGATTCAGAAAGCAGGGCCGGCTCTGTGGAGTAAGAAGAGTCCCATTTAGGACAAATATCCCTAATACAATAAGCTCAGTGCTTGCACTCTCAGGCATCACCTGCATTTCCTATGACTGGCACTTTGCATCCGGAGGGTCTGACTCCAGCTGACCCCATCATCCAACACAGGGATCCCAGCGAGAGGCACTGGACAATCGAGTAGGCGCGTGGCATTAGATGCAGTCCCGACTCCCGAGGCGACTGAGGATGGGCTGCCTTCACATTACAAAGGGAGGCTTGGGTCATGGCTCAAACACAGAAATCCCTCCAATCCCCAATGACATTCGCATTTGCACCTGGGGACCTTCTGATGAGGAGTCCCCACCCTGTACCTGGCGTTTCTCCGTCTGTGGGTTTTGACCCACTTTTCCTGTCTCAGTGTCTCTGCTTTGCAGATGGGAAAACTGAGATGCAGAAATGAGTAACCTGCCCAAAAGGTACTCATCTCAGTAGCAGAGCTGGTCAGTGCTAGTACAGAATCAGAGCATCACAGGAAATGAGGGTGCGAAGGGACTGCAGGAGGTCGCATCTTGTCCAACCCTCTGCTCCAAGCAGGACCAGCCCCAACTACATCATCCCAGCCAAAGCTTTGTCTAGCCGGGCCTTAAAAACCTCCAGGGATGGAGATCCCACATCCTCTCTGGGTAGCCCGTTTCACTGTTTTCCTATGAGAAAGTTTTTCCTAATATCTAACCTAAATTTCTCTAGTAGCCAGGTCTGCCGAGTCCCAGCCCAGCGCTCTGGCCTCTCAGCCACCCGGACTCTCTTTTCAGAGATCGCACAAAACGGGCACGTCACATAGTGTAAACGAGTTGGGAAATGCCCGGGAGAAATTTAATCCAGGATAATTCATTAGGACCAGGCTGGAGGGACCACTCCAGCTGATCTGGTCTGGCCTCTAGTACAACACAGTCTGTAAAGTTTCATTGTTGCTCCCATGCTTAAACCCGCTGTGCATTGGAGACTCTCTTCCGGGCTCGATTCGGGCAGGGGCTTCGTCCCCTTACTCTGAAGCTGGAGGCTATGTGCTCCCTCCACAGGAGATGGGTCTAGTCTGCTGGATGGGAACGACAGGCTGGGCCTGCTCAGGACATCCAGGACCCCGCTTCGCAGCTCAGCCCCATGGCACAGAGGCTGGGCACCCACCGCAGCCAGCTCTGCAGGCTCTCAGACGAGTCCCCCACCAAGACGGTGCCCTGCCAGCCTGGGTATCTACCTGGTAGACATGGTTTCTTCTGGCCACTGAAACCTCTCCTCCCACCGTTGGGTCTCTACAGGGGCCAGCTTGGCCACCGGTGTTCGAGCGATCCAGCAGGGTCGAACTGAGGTAGCTGGATGCCTTTAGCTGCTGTGAGCTTTCAAAGTCTCCCTTTTACAGCCACCCCACACCTCACAGCATCTCTGCTCTGTTGTTGGGTTCCCCAGGATCCGGCCTTCCCCCAAGCCCACCTAGTCCCAGTTGAGCTCCTCCATCTCCACCCCGCCACACTCACCTGCCTCCCTGCTCTGGGTCCAGTCTTCCTTAGCAGGAGCTCCTTGCCCCTTCCCTGCCATCTCCCACTCATCTCCTTCCCAGGCTGAGATCTCATTGCCCCATCCCCATCTCTTCCTGGGGACATGCACCATCCACGTACCCCACGCATATCTAAGCTGCAAGCAGCAGCACCCACGTGGACAAAGGACACGGTGACCCCGAGGGAGAACCGAGCCAGGCAGCATCAGGTTCCCCTGTAATGCATCCAGTAAAAGGATGTGTTGCAAGACAAGGGGGCACTGGTCCTGGGTACCAGCTCAGCTCTGTACCAAGCAGCCTCAGTACCAGCTTGGTCTCAGCTCACAGTACGAGCGTGAACTGAAACCAAGCACGATTGTGACTGAAATGAGTCCCGAGGCGTCTCCTCTGCCTTTAGCAGCGAGTCCTATCAGGCCCCAGCCGAGACTGTGTGAGGAAGGAAGGAGGGGACTTGAGCGGAGATGGGGAAGGCCTGAAAGGATGTGGCTCGAGCAGCCCTGTCCTTGCACTACTGCAATTCTTCATTGCTCTCCGACTGCCTTGTGAGTAACCTGGTCTCTGGAGTACAGATCAGAGGTATCCTAGTGCAAATGCACATCCCACCCTGACCTCTCCACCAGCGAAAGACAGCAGTGATGCAGTCCTGTGGCTGGAAGGACTTTGCACAGCTCCTCTCTTTAAAATAACTGCATCTCTCCATTCTTTATTAGTCTCTACAAACAGCCTCAGCGCCCCGAGTGCTTTGCAGATGGGTCGGCTACCAAAGCAGCCCCTCCCCTGGCAAGGAAAATGAGAACAACCCCGGAGGAGAGGAACAGGAGCCCTTTCTGGAGCCAAATCCTAGGCACAAAGTCAGGAGCATTCAGTCCCCATCAGAAAGGCAGGGAGGCTAAAAGTGACCCAGAGGCAAGCCAGAAGTGGGTCTCTGAAGACAGCTCTAAAAAGGACCCCTGCAGGAGGTCATCAGGAAAGTTGGTCCACCGAGGGTCTCCAAACCAGGGAGATGTCAAGAGCTGTTCTTTTTGCATGCCCAGCATGAAGGGTGCCCTGGCTGGTTTCTTTCCTGCCTCCCGAGCCAGGTGTATGAGGAGCAGCAGCCAAAGCCTCCTGTCCCGACACCCAGCTAATTCCCCAGCAGAGCCCGTCCCATCACAGCAGGTTGATATCGTCCAAGTAGCTGGCCAGGACCACATCCCGGACATCCTTGAGGACCTTGCGGATGTTGTGCGTGTCCGTGGCACAGGTGAAGTGATGGTAGAGACACCTGGTTTTGGAGGTCTGGGAGGGCCCACGTCCACTTGAGCACTGCTTGTACCTCTCTGTGTACATCTCCAAAATGAAGTGCTTCGCAGCCTCAGCATCCTGCTTGGGCCCTGGCGGAGAAGAGAACCCGTGAGATCACATGCCTTGACCGTACCTCACTTTCCTGATGCATCTATGGAAATAAAATCTTTATAATTCAAATCACAGCCCTGCCTGGGGCACCCGCATCAAGGACCCGGAGCCCGGTGCACTAGGTGCTATACAGGTAACTGGCAACAGTGACAGCCCCCATGATAACCACACCAATTTTGCCCACACCAGTTCTTTTCTTCTTTAGCCAATGGAGGTTGGCGACGTTGGTCCCCTTATACAGATGCAGAAGCTGAGGCTCAGAGAGGGGAGCAGCTAAGGCCCCTCCAGAAAGCCCATAGCAGAGATGGAAACAAAGCTCAGATCTCCTGAGTCCCCACCCAGTGCTCTACTCACTGCTTTCTCCCTCTGGGAAGCCACCAGATACTAATGAGAGTGGCTTCAACCTGTACCAGTTGGAGCCGCCTGGGCCAGAGCTAGGACAAGCAACGCACACAGGGTCACCAACAGCTGCACACAGCGACAAAGCGTCCCCGCAGAGCTGGGTGGGAGAAGAAGGGTTTCTGCAATGCCTGCAGGGGGGAATCCCAAAGCGCTGGATCGAAAGCAGGTCACCTGGGAAGGCCGGGAAGCAGTCGGCTAGGTCCGAGTGTGCGATCTTGTCTTCCAGGATGTCGGTCTTGTTCAGGAAGAGGATGACCGAGGCATTCCGAAACCAGGGCAGCTCTAGGACGGTCCGGAAAAGAGCCAGGCTCTCTTTCATCCGGTTCTGCAGCAGGGGCAGGAGGGGAAACGCTGAGCCCATCATCTCAGCTCTCCACTCCCATACAGACGTGCCGTGCTCTAGGATGCCCTGGGGCAAATCAAAGCTGACCCGCTCCAGAGAGTCCCCTCGAGCCCGAGAGCTGTGCACAGCTCCCCGCAGGCCCTGGCCTGCATTACCAGATGTGCTGCCTGAGCCCCATGTCCCTCAGGCCTCCTTACCTCCTGGCTGTTCTCTTCCAGGCGCTGGTCGTACTCACTGAGAGAGGCCAGGTAGATTAGGGCAATCACATTTTCGAAGCAATGGATCCATTTTTTGCGCTCCGACTTCTGCCCCCCCACGTCCACGATCCTGCAGGGAGGGAGGGAAGGTGCGTTAGGAGCTGGGTCTTGGCTTGGATCATGCTGCTAGCTAGGACGAGCTGCTGAGAGGCCTCTGGGAGGGACGAGGAGGGCTGCTGGAGCCTGCTCAAGGCCGATCTAGTGCCAGAAGCAGGCAGCCAGCTCTGGGGTGGAGCGCAGCAGCTAAGCAGTGCACAGCAACCCCCCAGGATGGATTTGCCTGCCTGAAACAGGCAGGGAAGCTCATGCAACATGCAGGTGCTGGGTGCTTGTTCTTGAATGACCAGAGTCCCCCGCTACCAGTAATGGCACGCAGGGGGCATGGCTGGCACAGAGGCAACGGCACGCAGGCAAAGGTGCAGCTGAGATGGGAGCTTGGACGTAGGAGGCCCAGCTCATAGGACTGCCTGCCAGGAGCTTCACCTGAGGGTCACCTTCTTCACCGAGAAGCAGTACTCGTTGATGCCGGTCGTCGGCCTCCGGCTCCTCAGGACATCCTGCGCGGTGGGGATGTAGGCATCTTCCACAATACGCTCCAGGCTGGATAGAAAGCTGCAGGCAGACAGGGACAAGGACAGAGTCAGCCCCTTCTGCCCCTGCTCTCTAAGCCCTGTGGCAGTGATAGGAATGATATTCCCCTGTGCTTTTACAGCACCGTGCACAGCAGGGCTCTGGACCCTGTCTGGGTTCCCAGGCATTACCGCAATGCACAGAACAGCAGCCTTACCAGCAGGAAGGATAATCTGAATCTGATGGGGAAGTGCATGCAATAGGACTCGGGAGTCCTGCCTCTTACCCCGGCGCTCTAACCACACTCCTACCCACAAGCACATAATGCAAGGTCTTTGGAGCCTGTGAGAGCAGCCAGGATGGCACTGCTGGCTGGGAAACCTCACCAAGCCTCAAAGTAGCCCTGATTTCAGGTGCTGGGGTCAGGAAAAGAGGCTCAAAGGCTCCCGTGAGATTTCTGCATTTGGTCACATGGGAACAAGACTCAAAAGCAAAAAGTGTTGGGATCTGTTGGCAGCTCTGGTTCCCAGCAAAGCCTAGTCACATTTACCGGGTTGTCATTTATAATACTATAAGGCTGCAGCAGACAGCAAGCTAGGTGCTGTACACAGGTATCACCAAGGGTAATCTATGCTCAGTCCAGGCCCTCACTGCCCCTCTGAGTGGGACCGTTAGCCTTCACCGCTAGCCGTGAAACCCTAGAGAAAGGATTTTCATGCGCACACATACATGCATGCATGCATGGCTGGGGCAACTCACTAAAAGGCAGAGTCCAGCAAGTGATATTCCCTTCGTCTCTCATAACACGTCTGGATCCCAGCATCTCTCCACAGCTCCCTGATGGCACTGACGTATGGCTCATTGAGTCTCACTACCTTATAGGCATCCACTCCCATGACCAGCTGGGCATGGTGCTGCGAGGGGGAGAAAGCGACAGAACAAGGCAAGGGAAAAGCTGTCTCCTCGGACACCTCATCCAGAGCTCCTGACCTGACTCGGCCCCTGCAGCTCAGACTGCTCTCCCCGCTCTGCGTGGAGGAACCAAATGGTAGAGACTTGGGGGCAGGTTAAAGGGGAAGGTGGAAGGACTCCTGGGGTCTTTGCCTCCAGTTGGCTGCTTAGCTTTAACCAAGGACTACATTTTCTAGCTCTGGTCCCCATCACCATAGTGCTGAGCTGCAATTACCTTCACAGCACCCTCGTGAGGCAGGCGAGTAGCTCTTGTTCCCATTTCACAGGTGGAAGCACCAGAATGCTAAGTGACTTGCCTGATATTCCACAGGGAGTCAGTGGCAGTGAAACCCCTCTTGCATCTCCTACCAAAAGGAGCTTGAACCAGCCCTGAGCCTTAAGTCAGGGGCCATTGCTCCTGTTTGGAGGTAATACAAGCAGCTCCAAAATGGCTCTGGGGGAGGTGCGGGGGGAGCACAGACTTTCAGGGCAGCTCCATTGCTTTCAGTGGTGCTTCCTAAAGCAGCCCCAGATCTAGCAGCTCTGCCCCTGCCCCAAACCATCTCACTGCCCCCTTCCCCTCCTCACTCACCACGTTCTCTGGCTGGGCATAGGGGATCTGCAGCGTCTCCATGGCCCCAGTCATGGCCTGCATGGCGGCAAAGATGTTCTGATACACTAGCTTGGTGAATGCTTTGCAATCCTCTTCTGAATAGCCCGACCCATGGATGATCCTCATCTGCTTGATGAACGTGCTCTTCCCGCTCTCGCCAGGGCCTGTGAGCACCAGAGAGGAGAAAGACGTCAGACACCAGTGAGGACGTGGGGCCGTGGGGCACTGGAGGGCTGCCCATAACTCCCCAGCCAATGGAGGCACTTCTTCACCACTCCCTTGCCAATTCAACCATGCCCAGCTGGAGAGATACTTAAGGACGAGGAAGATCATGTCCTCTTCCCACCTCCAACCTTTCCCCATCTTATTCTCTCTCCAGGATTCACACCTATTGCTTTCGGTGACCTTCCCTCTTCCCCTTCAGTGGGGTGACCTCCCTGTTGCAGGTGGGATGGGTCTCATGAAGCACTCTACAGCAGGAAAAAGCTGAAGAACAGAGCCACGGTCACTCAGGCCAAGATGGTCCAAGCCCAAGTTGGCAGCCTTGGATTTCCAGAGATGCTGAGGAGTTCCCAATAGCTTTTCATCAAGAGCGAGCCAGGTGCTCAACAGCTTTGGAACAACCAGGCCCATTATCCAATACCTAAACCTGGCTGAAGGCATCTCCCTGCACAAGCCCAAGTTGGAAGATTTTGGCTTCTTTCCCCAAGACCAAGTCATTCTGGCCAACAGCGATCGATTCTCGCTGCATGGGCGTCTGTATCTCCCAAGTGCATGCCTGGAGAGCTAGTGACTGAAGGCCACATTTCAGAAGCAGCAATTTCTGATGAATCTGCAGTCAGCTCGCCTCGCTCAGACTAGTTCCTAAAAGAGGAAAGGCCTCATGTCCCAGACCTCAGCTGTCGACTGCTGCTGGCTGACAGACAATGCGAGAGAAGGGTGGGTGGGCTTCAGCCAAGCTCCTAGCTGATGGGCCTCCACGTCACAGACCTGCCAGGACAAGCAGCCTGGCTGACACCCCTTGAGGGGACCTCAGGGGAGAGGGAAGGATCGAACAGACTGCAAAGCTTCGAAGTGGGCAGAGTGGCGTGCCCTTACCAGGAGGCCTGATACACAAACTTCAGTCCCCAAGGTTACTCTAGCATCAGCACAAAGCCGGCCAGATCCATGCCGGCACACAGGATGGATCTGAGCCCAAGGAACAGCTTATTAGCCCTTTGCTCCTGGTTGGCAGGAGGCCATACCAACCAAGCCTCCCACGATGGCTGGGGGAGCAGTGCACGTGTGCTTTGGAGATCCACGTCCAAAGTGGAAGCCTCTAAAATGCCTGACCCATGATAGCTGGAGGATAGAGGGACTGGAGCCAAGGAAGCTTTGGATAGAGCTCAGCGTTGCTATTTGAGGCGGCATCTCACACAGGGGCTCTGCCCCACCCGGGTGCGTTCTCTCCTGAAGGGTGACCTGGCCCCTCGAGGGACGTGTGCTCCCCAAAACGACTTACCCAGCAGCAGCAGCTTCACCTCCCTCCTGTCTTGCTTCTTCTGCTCCCGCAGTATTTTCTGGATTTCTTTGTCTGCCAGGACGGCAGCTCTGTCTTCCTCCGACAAGAAACGGGGGCACTTACGGCAGCAGCAGAAGCAGCCCGCCATAGCATGGGGAAGAGCCCAACCCTGCAGGAGAGAGGAACAAGGAGAAACACAGCTCAGACACGCAATGCCTGGAGCACAGGGGAACAGCCAGCAACTTGTCTGGGTAAAAAGACTCCCTGCTGAACTCAGCCAGGTGTTGACTGGAAATCAGTTCATGGATAGGCACTTAAAAAATTGCACACGCTCCAACTTCCGCAACTGGACGAACTCTACGTAAATACCCGTTCTACAGATTCTTTGAGCAGCAAAGGCTGTTGCCAAAATCTCCCCGGGACCTGACATTACATCAGTGCTTCTTTTCTTATGGCTTCTGGTCAAATAATAATAAGTCACCCTAAATTGATCTGGAATCTTTTACACCTCGGCAAAAATCGGCTGTTGGCCGGCACATTTCTGGAGAAGACGGGAAGTCATTTCTTTGTAGCCGGGGGTGCACACTTTGCAAGAAAAGCCACAAAGAGGGTTGGGTGGGAGATAAAAAAAAAATCTGTCACAATAGGTTTTCAAAAGGCATTGGAATAAGTTCCCCCAGGACGGTGGTTGAAGTGTCATCTCCAACCAAGCTCCAGGCCCCCTGAGGTTTCTTCCGAAGATAAAGGGCAGTTTCTGAGGCTGAGATTTGCTGGTGGCGAGTCTTTGCACCTTGCTAAAACCATTAGGGAGTTCCCGTGTCACCAACGCGCCCATCTTCAGATGTGCTCCACCTTCGCTGCATGTCTGAGCAAACGGGCTGCAACGCGCTGGCGTGTCCCAACCCTCTCCCCTCCCAGGTCACAGGAGAAGATGCAGAGAGCTTTCTCCTTCCTCATTTGCCACCTCCTGAGTCTTCCTCTCTGAGGAGGGGAACAGAATCTCAGGCATCTTAAAACTCTGAGGTCTTCAAAAAAATCTGGCCGCAGTCTCCATCCTCTTCTGCATTGCGACGACCCTCATTGTTTCACTTTCCGCCACAGGTTCCATTCGTGATTACGTGCTGAGAGCTGCTAGCATGTGAAAATAGTGCACATGGAGGCGGGGGCTTTGCTGCTTATCCCTCTCAATGGTGCTCCTGGGGTGGCATAAATCTCACGGGCAGTCAATGACCGAGCCATCAAGAGAACCCAGGACTCTCTTCAGTCCCTCACATTTGATGCCCATCCTGCCACCTCCACCCATATCAAGAACAACCTTACTCTGGAAACCATAGCATGAGGTTAGTTCTGGGGCAGCTACCACCTGACCTGAATGCAGAGGGCAGCCTCAAGGCCAAGTCAGTGGTGTCTAGGGCTTGTAATTACCTGGCACAGACATGAAGCTAGAGGCTGTGAAATTGCTGCTTTTTGGCTTCTTCTGGTGCACAATGGAAGTGAAACACATTTGGGGCAGGGAACAAAATGAGAAGTGAACTGAACACAAAGAAAAACACCTCCAGGGGCTTTTTCAGCATTCATGTTTCACAGCAGATGAGCTTCCTGCCAACAGACGCATGAAAACACAGGCATGCCATCCTCCATGCGACCCAGAGAAGCTTCTCACCATCCACCCACATGGCTCAAGCCCCAACTAGAGAAGAGAGAAGGAGATTCATTCTTTATAAACCAGTTAACCCCCCCTGTAATGACAGCGGCCAACCTGTGAGACCTGGCTGTGGTTGTTTGCACCAGGGACTATTTGGAACGGATGGAAAGAGGACCAGCCCAATGGAGTTGTATTTTCCCTACATGCTTCTAGACTCCTGGGATTTGACAGGGGCTGGAAAAGAAGGATAAAAGCTTAGAAATGCAATATTGGCTGGGTCAGAAACATCAGAGCCAGTGCAAAGTTCTCAGCTGGGGCTGAGGTTTTTAGAACAAAATTCTGGGGAGAATTCAAACAAATGTCCACAAGGCAAGCTTCTTGCACGTTCCTCCTCTTGCCATGATTATAACCCATCTTGATTCCACCGCAGCAGCCTGGAATTGCAGCAGGTTCAGGGATCACAGTAGCAGGAGCGGGGCAGGGAGCTAATACAGCAGAATAAAAACTACGAAGCATTCAGGGGATCCAGAATGCTGCCCGGGTGTTGACTCAGCTGATACCTCAAACATGAATCACGCTGGAGAAATGAGGATGGGCCAGTGGCAGAAAAGGCAGTCATGCGGCTGAAGAAAGGAGCTGTGTTTTAAAAAAAAAAAAAAAAAAAATTAAAATAAAAAAAAAAATAATTGGAGATTATAAAATCTTCCTCCCTGGTGCCGACTGCATCCAGTTGGGTTTTGCAGGTTATTAATCCTTGGGGTTTAGAGCCCTTGTATTTGCCTGTGCAGGAGAGAGAAAGCAGCTAAAGGATCAGCAAAGAAAGTCCAACACAAGTAGGAAGAGGAATACTGAGGTTATGAAACAACAGTTAAGGACTCCAATTTGCAAAGGTATTTCAGGACCATGAGACAGGCACCTAGTAGTTGATCCAAGGCACTGAAGTGGGCAAACTGCTTTTGCAAACTCCAGGAGGGGCCTACATGCCACAGCAGATCTGGCCCAAGGTTGCAGTGGGTTTCCATGAGCTTTATTTTAGCCTCTTTTATTTTCTATTTGGAAGATACGTTTAACCTGCAAACTGCCTGATTGGAGCCCCTCTAACGCACTGCGGCTATAAAACTAGATGAGCATTTTTTGAAACTTCAGGAAACAGAGAATCTCGTTTTGATCAACGTTTGTCTAAAGGACCACCTCTGACAGCCCCTCCTTGCTCATTCATATAGCAGCCATGTCCAGCAGCCCCAGACATGGACAGAACCCCAATGGACTAGACGTCACACCAAAGCAAAACATAGGATCATAGCCTCAAGACAGCTTGCAGTTCAAGCCATTTCAAATGTTTCAGGTGGCTCAAAGGGCTTAAAAGAACCAGTCTGATTTGTATAGGTTGCAATCAAGCTGAATTAACGAGCTGTGCTGTGAAAGGGTCCTTTTTTTGGCCATCCACATCAGTGGGGAAGAGAGCGATGGGTTTCGTGAGTGCACACTGCCCTCTTTCGGTTGGTAGTTGCTTCTCCTTCCTCAGGGTCTTTCTGTAACAGCTATATGAAACTGGGAGCGTTTTAAGACTGGAAGCCTGAATTTGCAATTTGGTAGCCAAAATGAATGAGTTACTCAATTAAGACATGCGCTTAAAGGTTAGCCTTTAATTACTGTTTTTAATTGGGAATGGCAAAGCAGAAGTCCAGCTGAGCCCAGATTTGTAACGAGGTCAGGCTGCAGAAAGCCTTCAGCCCAGCAAGTTTCAAGTTCTCCTCTCATCCCAGGCCCCTTATCTCAAAGCTAGTTCTGTCTGCAGTAACAGAGGTTTGCAGAAGAGATCTCAGTTCTGTGTTAAGCGGCCTGGATAAGTTGGCATAAGACAGCAACTGTTGGAAGACATTCCCCGGGCAAAGATCATATCTTTTGTTATACTGGAAATGAAGCTAGGATCATTGCACTGAATGAGGATAGACCAGGAGGATTTTACAAAGAAACTGAAGCGTTAGAGTTTCATTTTTCAGCTAGCTATTTTCATGCTATCAGGGCAGCATTGAGCTGAATAGATGCGCCCCCCCGCCTTTGCAATTCAGTTTAAAGACTTCCCCTGGATATTTTCAAATGCTGAAATGGCTCAACTGAACCCAGAGAGGGAGAAGGATCCTGTGATCTGGGATGAAATCCGATATTTGTTCTACACCTTTCCATCTATAGCTATCAAGGTCGGAAGAAAGATTTCATCAACATTTTCTCCACCTACAATGCTGCAATGAGCATCTCCTTAAACCACATTCAAAAGTCTTTCCTTCCCAAAATCTACCCATGCAACCCTGTGGCATGAAATGCTTGTGATCTTGATACCACCATTCTTGAGATACCAAAGAAATATCACGCCTATAATCAGCCACTTAACCAAAAGAGATATGAAAAACAAACCATGATATCAGACACGTGGAAGTATCTTATGCTGGGCTGGACATCCACGAGAGAGTTTGGGGTGAGGGGGAAGGGTGCTCTTGTGGGTTTTTGAGTGCCAAGGCAAAGAGCAAATGAATAAAGCTAAGATCTCCAAGAAAAGAAAAAAGCACGGTGCCTCCAAAATCAAGCATTCAGTTCCAGCCATAGAAAGGCCAGTTAACACTTTCTGATGGAGTGTTTTAACCAGTATTCTTGCTATAAGGGCCAACAGGGATCATGAAGAGAGGCATCTCTTCTTAGAAGAAAGGACAGTTTTTCCTTCTTCCTTCTCTCCTTCCCATGCCAACATTTTTCTTACCTTTTTTGGTCTGAAAGCTAGTCAACAGGCAAAGAAAAAAAAACTTTTTTTCTGCTGTAACTTGCATCTCAGGCCAATTCTTACATTCTCTCTTATCTAGTCCATCCTCCTACATAACACAACGGAAAATATTTTGTTAAAATACTAACACATTTACTGTTCGGGTATTACTAGTGACATCTGTCGGCCAGTTAGGAGATGCACTCACAGCATTACCCAATGCAGCTCCTCGACCTTAGGAATTTGAGCAGAAAGGAGTCCACCACCACTTTTTGTATTTAGAGTATTATACTCCATGTGCAGAGAAAGGGAGAGGATGCAGGCAGATGGATCTGAGAAAGCCTTTGCCTCATCATGACAAACATACCGTTTAATGCCACTATGGTATGCTGTACTGAAGACGCTTCATTCCCCATCAGACACGAACGTTGAGATGCTGAGATCTAAGGACCAAAACATAGCAGTTGTATGACCACTTGCATGAGTTAATAAGCAGCCATGAAACAGCAGCTCCTGGCCTGTTGTGCTTCATGATGAGATGGAGTCACGGGTCTCACATCAGACCTTGTAGTCTCTGCAGGCCTTACCTGTACGTTAAGGATACAAAAGCAATGCACTCTGCTCTATGCCATCTGATTTAGATGCGGCCTTTTGGATCGTGAGCAGCCAGCCTTTACGGGGTGTAATTAGGTACCCACCTGCAAAGAACTTAGGATGAAAATGTACTGCTAAATCAGGCTCTGGTTTTTCTTCTTTGTGAAGTGAGCTGCTGTCAGCCACATGCCAAGATCAAATATGGTGCTTACCCTTGATTTCTGAAGACGCAAAAATACAAGGAGTAGCAATCTTTTACTCCTTGGAAAAAGGGATGGTTTCCTTAAGATTCTCAGCACAGGACTGGGCTCAGAAAAGCCAAATTTTGCTTTCCCATTGTAACATTTCCTCAGCAGGAGGGGTGTGACTACATTGTAAAAAGAAGTGTTTGTCACTTGGGTTGCTTGCCCTGGATCAGTCGACTCAAATGACAACAGGAGGGAGCCCAAAAAAACATCTAGCGGCCCGTGTTCAACCTCAGATCCACCTCTAGGCTTAACCCAAATCAAAACTTGTTTCGTCTTCACTGAATTTCAATCCTATTTAGCTAAACTCCCCCTATCAAATTTGAACAGAGATGCTTTTTTATGGCAGAAGTACTCTGTTGACACAGGTCATTTAACCTCCACACCTCAGATGTCTGATGATCACCAACATGGGGATTAATGGGCAAAATGTTAGCAAGGATCCTTCTATGGGATGGTGCAATGTCCACCAGCTGGAGATGTTCTTAGGTCCAAGGACAAAAACAACATTAAAGCCACGAGACGAAACCTATTCCTCATTCCAAAACACCACAAACCCTAAAAAAAAAGGTTTAGCTTCCCCCTCAGTCATGCCAAATTCACCTGTAGATGCACCAGGACAGAAGCTGCCCTGTTTTTAAACAGCCCGCTTTGAGTTTTGTCTATCTGCAGCCTCTCTCTAGTGTAGACAGCTGATGGAACAAGGAACATCCTACTGTTTTGTGCCCTCCCTTTCTGATTTCTACTCTGGCATCACATTTCTTGGAAACAATGTGATCTCCCCTCTCTCAAACACGACAAGCATCCAGATTCTGCCTCACTTTGCAGAGCTGTTCCAGGAGCCCTTTTCCGCATTTATCTTTGATCCAGGTCCTTTCACAGAGCTTTTGCAAAGTTACCTGGTGCATCCTGCCATTTAAGCAGGTCAAGGCATGCAGAGAGGTCCTCAATCTCATTGCAGCAGAGGCCAGGTGCATGAAGCCCTGAATATGGCAGCCAGGATGTCTGCACCACAGCTGCCAAGCAGATGCCAATTCAGTCATCAGCATGATGGCATCATCGCTTCCAACTGCTCGCTCATGTGGACTTGGCAGTGGGAAGCCACATACATTGCTAGGGGCTGGATCTGTTGGGCACGCAGCAAGACAGCAAACTCTCAACCGGGGGTTGCTCCACGTGGTTCCCAAATGGGGCTGTCTTCCCTCCTTGCTGGTTTTCAGGGGGGTATTTCATAGCTGATTACTGGAATTAAATAGGAAGATTTCCAGGCATCATCCTCAGACTCCCACATAGTGCTGTGGTGGGTTTTCTACGCTGTGCAAAACACCAGTGGTAACAGACCCTGCTCTCGATGTGCCCAACGGCACACTCTGCCTCGTGGACTGCACAAGCTCATGGCCAACATCAATGGCTCGCTTATTAGAAGCTGCACCAATGCTGTTTGATCCCAAATCACATCCCAATCTCACTCTTACCAGTCTGTCCGTGCATCTCTCCGAGGCGGCCTTGGGCACCTGGGGAAAGAGCAAAAGCAAACACGCAGCCACCAGAGGTTTTAGGAACAAAATTTATTCCAATTTCAAACAGAGAATTTATTTCAGGAGAAAGATATGAAAATCAATTTCCATCAGGTATTTCTGCAATAAGGGTCAGTGCCCAGAAGCCAGAGGTGGGCTGTTCCAAGAAACGATCACACTCCTGGACTGGAATGAGACGGCTTGGAGCCTGAATGGGCACCGGGCAGCTTATTCAGAAACTCCTTTCCCCCACCCCGTTTCCACCCTCCCACCCTGACACTCACAACAATACATGCATTTCAAATGACAAGGTTTAAAAACAGCATTTTATATAGTATCTTTTTAAATAGGATAATGTTTAAATTGTCTTAAATCAGGATCCTATAATATACAAGTATAACCAAATAATTTCCACCACATTGGCACTTGTAAAGAGTCTCTGGCACTACTAAAGAAGGGGCATTGGCACAAACCATACTTTTAAAAACTGGGTGCTGCAGTACAGACTTTACCTCTGCTGGACTCTAACAACCTGGGTTCTGTATAGTACAATACGATGGTCAGCACACTCCAAAAAAGCACATTTTTTCTTTAAAAAATAATTACCAAGTAATAAAACACATGGAAAAAAAAATAAAAAGAATAAAATTAACCCCCCTCTCCCCCCCAGAAATAAAACAAAACCGTAGCTGAAGGCAACGCCAACATCGCTAGGAAGCAACAACAGACCAAAGAATCCGATTTCAGGAGAAGGGGAGACAGGCAGAAAGGGTGGGAGCTATCCGACACGATGGAGCAGGGAGGGGCGGTTGCCCACCACAGAGCCAATCCTTACAGAATGATTCAGGCAGATGGGAGGATGAAAGGGTGATCTCGGCCCCACTTTGGGTCTCTCCATTTTCAAGTGCAGAACTGAGTCAGAGTTTGCCTGTTTCTTCAGGACAAAAAAAGAAAAACAAAAAAAGTGCACAGGGAATGGAGCGTGGCCAAGGGACCGTTTCCTCAGGCTGTGGGGTTGGGATTCTGGGGAGGAGAATCTCACCCGACTTCTGTCCCGAGTGCCGCAATCCCTCCTTCTGGTATGCGGGAAATCCTGACCCAACCCGTTGCCAGAAGAAATAAATGTAGGCATGTCTGGTTTGAAGTTTGGCACTTTCAGTACAGTAGGCATTTGTCATGGGGTTAGCCACTAGAGAGGTGGAGAAGGGGACCAGTTCTGCAGCCATGCTTCACGAATTCAGCTTAGAGCAGACAGGCCATCCTCTTTCTGGAAAGCACATTCATCTTCTAACCCCAATGCCTTTTCTTCTACCCAACTGTGCACCATCCAGAGGTGCAAGCGTGACTTGTTCCTTCTCTAGGTCAGAGGAGGTTACACCAATACGCAGTGGGTTAGTCATTATACATAATGTCATTGCCCCAGCTGTCATGGTGCCAAGGAGGTGACCAGGCCAATGCTACGGTCAAGCAGCTGACCAATACAGTTCAGTACACGCTCCGATTTTTAAAGCCCAAGAAGCATTCCACAATTCAGAGAAATTCACCCTGTTCCACACAAGGTAAGACAGTCCTTCTGTGCCAGGTCAACATCTCTTGGCAGGTAAAAGGAGGCTACAAAAAACCAACTCTGATTCAAATGGGAAGTGCCACCATCACCCTTGGAAAGGACCCTCTGGAAAGCTTGTTCCAAGAGCCTGAATTTTTTTAGTGCTGGTTCTGCAGCCAGCCACAGTTGCTGTGCAAACCATTTGCACAAGGATCAAGGAAGTAAATGGGGCTGCTCCCTCATCCACTCCAGAAGAATGGCATTTGGACTAACCAAGATGGACTGTAACAACCTCTTCATAGAAAAAACCTTGTACAAAAAAAGGATACTTTTGGCATAAAGACAAAATGATAATAATAAAAAAAACAAAACAGTAAAATTGGTGCAAAGCTGTTTGCCATATGAGGGAATTCTTCCTTCACTTTTCCCAAATATTCTACGGGATCAGGAATGTAACTATTCTAGAAGCAGTTGCTGCCCTGCCTTCAGCATCAACTCTCAGGCAGACCCCGGCATTTCACTTGTTGGTCCCAAGGCTGCTACTCTGCTACCAGCTCTCTGGCCACGCCAGGCATCTACCCCAAGAGCTTGTTTTCCTTTGTAGTGCTCTGTGAAATACAGCAGAGACCTCCCTCACCTACTCTGAACAACACGAAGGAGGCCTAAAAAGCAGGAGTACTGGCAAGTAGTGTGAACTCCAGATTTAGTGTTACAGGTCAAAGGCATCTGGGGCACTTAGGGCTTCCTGTTAACGTTTTGTGCAAAACACAGATGTAGTGCTAAGTCTACAAAAGAGACGACAAAAATATTTGACACCCTCTTCAACAGTGCAGGTTGGGAGACTGGGTTTCTCAGCCTCTAGCCACCAACAGCCTATATGTCATTGACGGGGCATCTGGTTTAGCCGGAAAGTTTGGACTCAATGCAACACATTGTTAAGAGTAGCCCAGACTTCACGTACGGCCAGAGTTGAGTCGGATCCTACTGTTTCTTACTCACTGTTTGCCTTGCCACTGCACTCTACTTCCAGGCAGATACAAGAGGCAGCAGAGCCTTGGCACATTTGCTCCATCACCTGAGCTTCTGGCAGCCTCTCTATAATGAACCTGAGTGCTCTGGGCCCTTCTGCTCAGTGGAATTCAATTTGACGCCTAGAATTCAAAACAAATCTCCATCACCGATACGCATGTATCCATGAAGCCAGCTACTTTCTCTACTCCACTGCTAGCCAGATGTCTATCCACAGCAGGATTCTCTGGATCCTGCTTTAGCAAAACACTCGAGAAGTGACTTCTGTACCCAGTTATCAGGCACCCTGCAGCTCTGGAGCAAACAACTGTGCGTGTGCTCCAAAGAGATTCTACACTTCTCTAAAGAGAAACATAGCAGCATCCATCTCAGGTGGAGCACAGACAGGGAGACAGGGACTGGGGTGGGGAGAAGAAGGGGGGACAAATAAAGAGAAAAGAAAAAGCTTCCCACCTACTCCTAAAATATCTTCACAATCTTTTTTCAAGCAGTAAAAATCCTACCCACATCCCAGAACCTGCACCACTCAACTCTCGTCCTTCTTCTAGAAAACCCAAGCGCTGGGCAGGATCAAGGCATTCTTACAAATCCACATGACACGCTGGCACAAAAAAAAAAAAAATGTGATAATGGGACTCTCTTGCTGTTGGCAAGAACCAGAGGGCAGCACAGGAGATTTCAAAAGATCTTTGCTTCAGCCAAAATTTGGGATTTTAAATGCCACAGGATGATTCCGTGTGCTTCTGATCTTTGCTGCATAGAGAAGTCGCCCAGGTAATGCCTTGTGCTCCACACTCATCAAGAGGGAAAGTTTTCCTTCCATAAATTGAGCCTACTATTTTTTTTTTTTAAATACAGTCAGGCACTTCCCCAGGCTCAGCAGCTATTGCTCCAAGAGCTCCCATCATTTGTAGTCCATGAACAAAATACAGCAATATGTAGCAAACTATGTATAGAACATCAATAATTTAAAAAAAAAAAAATCACAGTCTCCATACCTTTTATAATTGATAAGAAAAAAAGTAACCCAGACTAAATCGTACAAAGAATGGAAAAGTGATGGCTTTTTTTTTTTGTGGTTTTTTCCTTTTCCTTTTTTTTTTTTTTTTTTTGCTAGAGTTGGAGAGCAACTGTTCTTCTCCGATATTTCATCACAGTGAACCATGGAGCGTGTCCTTGGGAAGGGAAGGGGTGAGGAGGGAAAGCAAGCAGGATTAGCGATTACGGAGGCACCCTACAGCACACGGCAAAGGGACCAGTAACATTCCACGCTCCCACAGTCCAGTGAATTCACAATCTTGGCTGGAAAGTTATATATAGCTATATATACCATGGGAATGGAAAGGGGAAAAGAAAAACAACATAGCAACAGAAGAAAAACCCAAGATCAGGCCGCCTTGCCTGTTGGTGAAAAATAAGGGGTGAAGAAGGTGCTGAAGAATGAGGCATGGCCCCCATTAACTGTGAAATAAAAGCAATTTGTTAAAAAATATGAAAATCAACTATTCTGTGGACAGAGACATGAGACTTCCAGGATAACACTGAGCAAACTTGCCACTCCACAGATCAGACAATTTGCAATCATTACATCATTAAAAATTAAGATTTTTTTTCCTGTAATTTTTAAATTTTTCCGGTTTGTCTTTTCTTCACAACAAGGCCTCCCATGGAAGGGAGGAGCAAGGGGCAGAGCAGGTCAGACCAGGTTGTACTCCTTCAAGTTGAGCTGTAGGATGGTGTCCTTGACCGCAGCAAAGACGAAACGGATGTTTTCTGTGTCTGTGGCACACGTGAAGTGAGAGTAGATGATTTTGTCGCTGTCTGGATTTAAATCCACAAACATCTTGAGGATGAACTCTCGGGCTGCCTGGGCATCCCTCTGTGGGCCTGCAGTAAACAAGGACAACAGTAAAATGCACTCAGTTTGAAACCCAGCTGGAAGTGCCAGAGGAATTGCTAGTTTTTCCTTTCTCCATTTTCCTCTGGCTGGGAGGTTACAGGGGCAAAGGAATTTAACCCCTCTATGGCCGGCCTCCAAATCATAGTGCCTTGAGCACGCTATACTTAATGGTTGAAACCTATCTTTAACCTAACTTTTTCAGTGCTTCAAAATACCATAATCTGACAAGCTCAAAGAGGTTTCTTTAGACTGTGCTCTTTCAAATGGAGGACTTGGCCAGATGATTAGCCCATCTGGTCCACTATGTTGAAGTGGCAAATACACAATATAAATGAATCATCTCACCCCCTCATAACAGATCTAGCCAACAGGGGAATAAAGCTGTTTGTTGGGGGTGAGGACACCGATTTCCTTATGACCCCTATAGCTGTAATCTTGTGTGCTGTGGAACACAATCTAGTTGCTATTTTTGGATGCTAAAGTCAAATTCCATTAAAAATACCTCTAAGGTATTAAATTATTTCCTCATGGATCCGCCAGTTTATAAAGCTAAGCCGGTTTTCATTCCAGATCACAAATGGCTTCTTGATCCACGACACCAGTCTGGTGTTCTCACTCTTTCATGGCATGGACCACCTGGAAGATCCTCCATGGACCATCTCCCATTCATAACCATTCAAGTGACTGCTGTATCTACCACACTAATTGTTAACATGGAAAAGGAGCATTAGGAAGAGTAATGGATTTTTAGCAGTTGTCTTAAATCACAATGGAAGCCAACAACAATACGTTGACCAGGTACAACGGATGGATCCCAGACCACGGCAGGAACATCTGACATTTACCACAAGGCACTGGAGTTACTGTACTTCCCAACAGTGGAGGGAAAGGGGTTTCTCCAATTACTGCAAATGAGCCTTGGTCAACCCCAGCAAGAACAAACAGCTAGAAAAGGAGGGCTTCAAAAAAGAAAAGAGGTTTGCCAATCCTGAACCTCCACTGTCCCTCATTTATCTTTGAGCCTTTACAGATGTCAGCATCATTTACATCATTAGAAACACTTTATAAATACACTATATAAATCAGAGGTGACAAAGAACTGAGTACCAGATGAAAACTTCCTTTTATCTGGTGGGTATTTTCCCAGAAGTATGGATGGCAGGCCAACACTGATTTCACGCTGCTTTTTTTTTTTTTTAAATTGCTTCCACTGTGACTTGGATAATTTAACCAGTCCATATTTGATGTTCAGTGAAGGGGCTCCCTAGCAGGAGTATGAATTTAATATTCTAATGAGCTTTTCCATCTAAGCTGTAACTGAACATAGTTATACATGTATGGAGGTTAATACTCAAAATAAAGTATCCAGAGCTCAGTTGAGAACCAGGAGCAAAGTTAAAGGAAGTGGCTCCTCCTGAGAAGTGAAGATGTTGCCCAATGTTACAAAGGGACTTTGCATCTGTCCATTCTTTCCAAATTCAAAGTTATACATCTGTAACCTAGTACATTTGAAAATGTCTTTGTCATATTTGCTCATTGTCTGAGGCATTTCTGCCCAATAAAGGGCCTCCCAAACCTCATTCCCACCTGTGCTTCTACATCTAATTCAGATTTAGACCCATAATTTTCTATTGCATCCCATCTGCACTCCAGACTAAACAGATGGAGAAAGAAAACCAAGTAAAAATTCACTCATGAACATACATATCTAACACAGACGAAGCATGTTGTTTTCAAGAAGCTTAATTCCAGTTTGAATGCCCCTTTTTAAAAGCTACTTACCATCAAACTCTGGAAAATAGTCAACAAGGTGGGAGTACAGGATCTTGTCTTCCAACAAGTCTTTCTTGTTGAGGAAGAGGATGACAGATGAATTCTGGAACCAGGGGTAGGTGATAATGGTCCGAAAGAGGGCTTTGCTCTCTTCCATTCGGTTCTGACACAAGAAATACAATCTCATCAACTCCCATTTGTGAAAAAAAACCTCATCTCCACACCCCTAGACATCACCCCAGACATGAGATTCCCGACATGGGACACTCTGGCGCTATTTAGGTTTTGGTCTCAGTGGAGTGGTTAAACGTGAAACAGCTGCAATGTCTGGGCCTGACTTAAGTCTCATTTACTGGCCAGCAATTAAGTCAGCCAGGGAGCTATTTCAGTGGCCAAAGTCATTTTGAACTTTGGACTGCCATGCAGAATATTTGAAACCTGCTTTTGGTAACTATGCCTTTTTCCGGCCAAGGCAGTGATTATTAGCTCATGAGAGTAAAGAGTACCCACTCACTTAATGGCAATTCCTCTTCTAACTGCTCAAGGAGCTACAGTGTTGGATTATAAAGAGACCAGGAATTATCTGGTTGCCACAATACAAGATATTTGGGCTGGAGGGGGAGCGCGTGAGATTGCCAAATATATTTAGGAGGGTCGCATTAGAAATGCACAGAATCTTTCAAGGTAGGACCCATAAAGCACTGAGTCCTATGTTCTCACTGTGTAACAGGAAGAACTGAAGGCTGGAAAAAAAACACCCTTTCTAATCCAACTCCCAGTTTTCTGGGCACCAAGTGCTTTGGTAGCAAGCGCCAAGTAATCAGGATGTACCTCTTCATCCTAGGAGAGCTCTCATATTTTGGCTTACCTCATTATCCGACTCCACTAGAACTTGATCATATTCACTAAGGGCTACTAAAAACATGATGGAGGTCACATTTTCAAAGCAATGGATCCACTTCCGTCGTTCTGACCTTTGGCCTCCAACATCCACCATCCTAAAGGAAGAGAAAGACATGTAGTTTATCACAGCAACTGCCAGCCAAGGTTCAGTAAGAGCTTTTCTCCCTTATCAACCAAAGCATTAGCACATAAATAAAGGCAACCCTCCCTGGACACTGCAACACAGGTCTAGCAGGACAGTCTGACAGGCTTCCTGCTCTGCCCTCTCAAATATCACTCTCAGGGCCACCACCAAGTTTGACCGATTCACTTTTCAGAAAACCTGACAGCAGAACACATGCCCCAGGATTCAGCATCTCCGCTTCTACTGGAATCCTGACCTCATTTACTGAGCAGAGGTCCTGGAGCCAGGTGCATCCATCACACCAAGCCACAGTCTAAAAAGAAAGCTAATTCCAGTCTGATCCCACTCTACCAGTGGCAGACCTATCTGCTTTTTGCTATTAAGATTTAAAGCTTCTGACCATAATAGAGGTTGAAGACTTGGTTTAGGGCTTTCTTCAGAACACGCTGTTGAACAGGGCTATGTAAATACACGGGTAAAGCTTAAAAGTAGTCAGCCATACAGTCACACGCTTGTAAAAGGTTAGTGCTCAGAGTAACCATATTACACCTGCTCTGCCCTTCTAAATGCAAAGATTACCACAAAACTATAAACAAAGTCAATCAGTTTAGTAATGGAGCATTACACCCATTTTGCAGCTGGGCTAAGCAAATCCCAGAGAATGATTTCTTTGAGCAGCGTAAAAGATCCATTCTCTCAAGCCTGAAACTGAAGCCCAAGTCCTCAATTCTTAACCTGCTCCTCCCCCAATCCCTTCCAATATTATTGATTCTAGGGTGACATGGATAAGATTGGTATCTAGAAAGAGGAAGGAAGAATGTTACTTTGCAACAGTGTCTTTGCATGCAGTGCTTATCATACAGATATAGTTAAGCCACACACCAATGGCAGAAAAATTAAAAGAAGCAGGTCTCTAGGTCAAACCCTGATGGCCCAGGGTAGACAGAGGGTGCCCTTTTGGAAAACACACAAAAAAAGTTAGTGTAGAGAAAACACTCCTCTCCCCCACTTCTTCCACAGGGAAAGCTACAGAGATCAAAGTAATTAATGTTCAGGAAAAAAATAAATCTTGGAAGGGTGAAATTTCTAGTTCAACACAGCTTGAAGAGAACTTGGTTTTTCCTTTAGTGGATTAAGCACACAACCTGTTTATCCAATTGGCCTGTGAGCTGTTATACGTGCATCGAATGCCAGGGCACCAACACATGAGAGGAGGAACAACTATACCTGCTGGGTAACCATTGAAGCTCTCTGGAGACATAGGCAAGCCTAACAGCAAACTATGCCACACATCTGTTGCCCCTCCTCCAGTCCTAAAAGCTATTGGTTTAATCTAACTTACTGTCCCCTTCAGTAACTTAAAATCCTACCATGGACTAACTTGTTACCTACACACAGGAGCTCCCTTTACCTAAAATGTCATGGTATTCCCCAAACACATGCTCTTGCATCTTCTCATGATTCACACCTTTGATTACTAGTTTAAAAAACTATTTCTCCCCAAACCCTCCCTGGTTTAGACCCACTTGTTCTACTAAGTGGAGCACAGGTCCTGACTTCAGTACCTGAAGATAATATTCTCTAGGTCAAAGGGGTATTCTATGATCCCGGTTGTAGGAACTCTAACCCGTAGCACATCCTGTTGGGTTGGTAGATATCCCGGGGTTGCAATACGATCCACATCACTTAGGTAACTGCAAGAAGCACAGAGAGAAACGCTTCAGACTATAGCACGCATGCACACAGAGGTTTTAAACAGTCAAGGAGGCTAAAGATACCTGACTGACAGTAATATTGCTTGAATCATTTAAAATGGGACAGGACAAAGTAATAAAAGGTATTCTTCAGGGACAAATCTTTCCTTGTCCGTCCCCTTGGGAGCCTGCAGGGCCTCACAGGTACTGCACATTTAATTTCTCTGTGAGCTTTCTATTAATTAAACAGCAATTCTCCAGCCATCTCTTCCCGGTAGTAAGCGCAGTGCCATGTGTCACACCTCACTCAGTTGCAGCCAAGCACTCTGCTTCAGTTTCAGTAATGAGAAGAGAAAAAGGCATGTGCAAAGCTGTAGATACACACAGCTTTCCCTTATCAAATGGAAAGGACGACAATAACCAGTTTAAGACATCACCGTCCTCACTGAGTTCTGAAACAGGTACAGAAGAAACTCCTTTCTCTATTGGATGCACTGTGTCATCTCCAATACTCAGGGCAGAATTTAATTTTTATTTTAAACAAGTGAAGTATATCCATGCAATCTAACACACTGCCATTTTCCTGAGTTACTCTGCACTCAGACTTTCTAGTTGCATAGGCCAAATCTTGGTCCCTTATAACTACCCATAGCAAGCCTGGAAGGGAAGAGTGGCATTTCTGCCATGTAAGGAGCCAGGGCTAATGAGAGATGGTGTAGGGCAAGGACTCTATTCACTAGAGCAGAGGGGTAGGCAGCTCCACATATCACTCAATTGAATTTGTGCACAAGGATGGTGGCACTAAACATGGTTAAGAGCTCTCCAGGCATTGTGATACTAAACCACACACACACACACACACACACACACACACACACACACACCTCTTTGCATACATCAGCACAAAGTCCACAAAATAAAAAGTGAATCTATGAGACTAGCATCAAAAAAGCATGGTCACAGCAGGTGACCGGAACCAGACTGAGAGGAAGGTGGAGGAACAGGCAAAGCCATATATCCAGGTATTTCCTGTCCCAGCCCCAAACCCCCCCTCCACCCACCACAATAGACTTATCAGCTAGAGGCAGCTATG